GGTCAAATAGAATTTCAGATATAAATGGTGCCACTGTGAATATAATCATGCATGGGCTGCAATATGAAGTGCATCATCTTATTTAGATGCCTTAGCAGACAAAGTTAATTTACAAAACTTACGTCAGTTATCAATATATTCTTGATTATTGTGTGTGTGTGTGTGTGTGTGTGTGTGTTTGTGTGTGAGTGTGTAAGAGTATAGCCTTGATCCACTGTGAGCTTTATTTTTGTAATTGTTTTCAGGCGATAGAGCAAAATAAAAAAGGATGAGGTCTGTTTATCATTGAGGAACGGGCTTCTTTTCCAGTCAACCTTAACCTTGCTTTTCTAAAACCCATCCAGTGGCTGAAGCAATCGTCCCTATAGCTTTCTCAACCCATATGCTATGTCGTACCTGCTGCAGCGAAGATTATTAGTTACAAGCAACTGTCATTAAAAATTGATTTATTCATCCTCTGCGGGGAGCAGGACTGCCCTGCCGATGACGAATATGCCCTAACAGTACGATGGGCTCTCTCACAACACAACCCCGTGCACTTATTAACAACAAATATCAAAATTTGTTACATTTGCCTTATAATTGTGATATGGGAATAGTGCCTTTTTAATGTTTATTTTATGCATCCATGTTCTTAAGATACCTACACCTACATAAGATACCTACATTAAGAGCCTACATGTTACCAAGAATAGCTTTCACACTTCCAGTGAGTATTCCAAGGTTGCAAAATTTCTAACGTTTCTGTCCAGGAAACACATAAAAAAAATAAACATTGTCTTTTTGTGACAAAATACAGGACATGTTGTCACATTTAAATGGGCCAAGTTGTCACAATGGGAATCTGCCATTAAAAAGCCTATTAATGGCTTTTTAAAAAGTAAAAATTAATAATAAAAACACATACAGAAATAATGATATTACTATTGTTTTGATCAAAAACAGAACCACTCGCTGGCATAATGACAAATCTTGTATTGACTTTAGTAGCCACCATTTGTCACAAAAAACCCATCAAATATGAGTACACTCAATGTCCACCATGCTCATAGTATAGTAACATATATTGTTTTCCTTACAAACACTGACCCAGTACACTCCTTCAGTAGAGTATTTGTATTATTGTTATCAACACCCTGATTTTACTGAATTCCTGTAACTGAATTTCAATAAATGGTTCAAAATGCCTGTTGTGTGATTCATTGTTGCCAAGAAAAGGAGATCTTCAATAGACAGTGAATATTTAGTCAGGAAGAGGCTAAACGGAGATGGTACTCCTGTCACATAGAAGAGGAGGAGAAGAAGAGGCTGAAGAGATAAGTGATTACGGTCAGACGCTCCATTCATCATCTGCTGCTGTGTGCAGTTTCCAGGGTCTTCACTGTTATCAGCAATATATAGACCAAATGTCAGTGCCCCTGAATAAATCTCCCTCAGGACTGATTCACCATTATAAGACCTTGGTCCTGCTTGATCATCAACCTCTCTTATGGGTGGCAGTATGGAAAATAAACCTAAACCTTACCTTAACACACATATGGGGGGAAAATACCTTTATGCAATGTCTTTAAATGTAGGGTAGGCAAGCAATATCAAGCTAGCTTTGAAAGCCTGAGATCCAACCGTCCACGGCATCTTCAAAACACATGAACGCACACAGCAGAGTCTGCAAAGTGTCACGAGACAAGAAACGGTGTTAAACTAACTCATGTCTCAAAGCACATAACATTACATTAATAATGAACATAAACAACTTAAAGAGCACTAACCTGAACCACCTGACTGCTGCAGATTCATTGTGGAGTTGATAGTGCTGCCATTGAAACGCATAAATTCGAGTCACAGGTTTCCGTCTCTTGCAAATATAGTTAAGTTATAGTGTGAATGTAAGCATATGCTCACTGTTTTGGATCAGGAGGAACCGTAAAAAGTGGCTGCTGTTTCGTTAGCGGTGCTCAGTGACTGACGTCTGATTAACTCTGCATAGCAGGAAATGTACCGATGATGTGTGATGTCTGCGCGAGCAGGTGCTCAGAGCCGGAGGTTTTTAAATTCATAAGTTGACATGCAGGTATGACATTTTATCATTGCATTCGGATCGAATGCAATGATTGGACGAACATTTTATGGTTCTACGTCTTACTTCTATCAGGATGTGCAGAGACTTTCAACCAGTATAACAAAAAAAAAATGTTCAATAAATCACCTAGCTTTAAGAAATCAGAAACATAAGTCTATTTCACTCGTTTAAAGGGATAGTAAGCTAAAACATGCCAAAAATTAATTTTAAAGTGAACTATCCCTTCAAGCTATCCTGGCCATAGTAGACCAATGTTGTAATAAAGAATAAAGAAAAATGTCTGAGTGTTGACGCAACACATTTAGGCTTATTCGAGGTTACTGCGTTTACATATGTTGTCTGTGGCCCAGTGGATAAATTAATGATTACAGCCAACTATGCCCTGACTTTGTTGCCCCTCGCAGTGCTTTCTGCTCATTTCACATGATTGATGATACAGTTTGCAAGCCCATCCATTGCTATAAAGCAGCTTAGTGTCCTGTCACTCTGTATCAGCACCGGTGTGATGATGCAGGCCGTAGCATGATGTATTTCTTAACCTAGCAAACTGCCTTCAGAAAAAAAAAGCCATAGTGATAGTAACACATGCACTGATATTAATATATCAGGGCTAATAGGTAAACAGTGGAGAATAAATGGACTATATGTATAAAGTATGATTTAAATAGTTTAGAGAATGAAATACCCTCATAAATGTCAGGGTAAGAAGTGAGTGATTCAACAAATAAGTTTGAAAGTCTTCATGCCGACAATGAACTATATTCAGATATGCCATGTTTCATTTTTCAAGGATAAAAAACGACCCAGACATCCATTGTAATTTTCAAAACACCTTTTACAGAGTAGTATTTTGTCAACAGATTTTCTATAAAAAAAGATGTATTTTCAATTTTCCTGAATGTCAGTTGAATGAATGATTGACACCATATATTAAGGCCATTGAACATGGGCTACATCTTCTCCCTCACCTCCTCGGTTTCATTTGCGGAAAATTAAATATGGCGTCTAGTCGAATAAGGGATAACAAGGATTTCTTATTGCAGCTGTGTTTGAAAGCTCGGGTATTTTAGTCGCTTCAGATTCAGAATAGGGTTCTGCTTGCCTGCGCATCCACTATCTGTTAATTGAGGCGAGGGAGAGAGCAGTTACTAGACCTGTCAGTGTTAATCAAGCCTCATCTCTTAACACAAGCCGCGCTTTGCAACGAGCTGAAGATTAATATTCCGACCGAAACAGATGATAAATCATTTGTACATAATTAGCGCTAGGCAAGGTTATAGCTGACACGAATTTTTATCTTAATTACGGGGGAAATTTGTTCCATTAATTTAATTTGTCGCGCACGGACGCGCCCGCGCCTAACAAAGTTAATCTTACACCTGTCAGTGCGCTGCTGAGGTAGGTTGTGTCTCCAAAGTGAGCGAATTCGCCGTCTACTGCATCCTAAACAGCATTCACCATCATGCAACTTCATAAGTGTCTGGTTTGAGATAACGATGTCTAATTCATGAAGGAAGGCTCAAATTATTTCCTTTATTTTAACCAGGAGAGTCACATTGAGATATTAGCTACTATCTCTTCTTCCAGAGAGACCTGGTCAAGACAGCAACACAAGAAGTTTCACAAGAATCACAGAATAACAATGCCACAATTTACACATTCACAAACAACATAGATAGAGGCGAGTCAGGAAAAACATCTTTTCGAATTCGAATATTTTCAGTAAATCAGATGAAACAGCTCACAAACAGGTCTGAGCGACCAGTTCATAGGATGTACTAGCCTAGGGCTACTCAATCGGTTCAAGATTCTCGAGTCAAAAACTCACTGAACTGAGAACCGACTCGTAATGAGCCGAAAACCGAGTGAACTCACAGTAAAAACATAACATTACAAGTAAAACATATAGCTACTATAGGCTACTGAAAAATGCCTACTGTAGCCCATAGCATGGCATTTTACTTAAACGTAAAGACGTTTTTCAACCAAGATACCAAATGGATTATTCAGTGTAAATACACATTATATTCAGGTTCTAAATTAATCATTTGGTTCATAATCATAAGTGCAAAAAAAAAAAAAAATGAACATGAACAGGCATTAGCTAGCTGCAACTAAACGCCCATATTAACACATAAAATGCCATTTTAAAACACGCATAATCTTCTAGAAAGAGGCTTAGAAAGTTTCAGCATATCACGCCGGAAAGTCAATTAGCCTACGCAGTGACATAACAATACTAGTTGTTGAACAGTTTCTTTGAAATGAACTGTTCGAAAGAACCGATTCGCGGATATGAGTTTTTTTTACTTCTCCTGACTACCCGCAGAGCAGTCAAATTAAGTTTTTGTGTGGTCTTCGAATACTTAACCTGTATATCGGTAAAGAATTTCAACTAGCTCCTTGAAAACAAGCGCATCGACATTTCTTCTTTAAACTCCTAAACTTTAGATAAGTGGCCCAGTAGGTTTCTCACATTCAGACCGAAGCAGCGATGCAATAGCAATATAATTGAATCAAAACTCTTAAAACCATTTCCCGCTCTTGAATTCCTCTCAGACAGGTGTTTAAGTCTTTTTATAACATCTGATAAAATGTTCGATATTTCAATTAAAAACAAATGAAGCACTTTAGTTACTATTAAGTCAAAATCGCCTAAGGTGAAACGTAAATAGACCTACCTCAGACGGCTTATCAGCAAATGTGAAACGTCGAGCAAACTTTGGGACAATACTGCCCTCTGCAGGACTTAAATTTGTAGTTCACGTTTGTCTTCACTGTGGCTAGTAGAGTAGCCCAGAGCCATGTGGCTCTGGAGTAGCCTACTGTTTTGTCCAACACACTTGCAGTGTTTTGGCGCCCTCTCCTGGTCAATGTTGCAAGTCAGCGTTTTCTGTCGAATTAAGACACTCGAGGGTAATTTGACTTCTCAACGTTCAGTTTTAATAGCAAGGTATGTTACCATATAAATCTTCCAAATATAAGTTCAACTGAGAAAAAAAATGCATTTATGAAAAATTGCGATACAGATTTAGTACAAACATGAAATAATGGGAAAAAATAAACATTATTTCAGTATTCAAAAGTTATGTCCACTCAACAAAGCAGCTTATATTGTGAATTCTATGTAGCCTAGTATATTAACACTTTATCATTTTGAAAACGATAAATGATATATAGCTAATATGCAACTTGTGAGTTAGTGAACTGAAAATTAAATTTGAAAATTAAAATTCTGTCACCCCAAACCTACTCGTTCATCTTCGGAACACACGATGATGTATCTGATTTCTGTCCATAGACACTGCTCAACTACCATTATGGTGCTTCAAAAAGTTAATAAAGAGACTGTAAAACTAATCTTTATTTGGCTAATTGAGCAGTTTAGTCTCTTTTTTTGGAAGAGACTCGATTGCTTTATATGATTAATACATTGAATTTAGGCTTTTATTTGCATATAAACATTGATCAGCAAACATAAACAGAAGCTCAACCAAACTTCCTTGATGTGAACAAACCTTGAAGCTCAAACACGATGCGTAACATGTGAATGAACCTTATTGATTGTTGCATGTCAAGCCACCATGCTTTAACTTCCATTTATCATAACTGATAAGGGAGTTGATGAATGTTTATTCGTGAATAAAAGCCTAAATTCAATCTGTTCATCAATTCTTGTCTCTTCAAGAAAATCTTTGGACAAAACCGCTCAATTATAGACATGGATTTATTTTACGATCTCTTTATGAACTTTTTGATAGTGGTGTTTGCGTTGTTGTCAATGGAGGGGCATAAATCTCTGATTTAATTAAAAATATCTTCATTTGTGTTTCCGAAGATGAACACATTTTCATTTTTGAGTGAACTAACCCTTAAGTTGTTGCCATTGTGAGTATTGCTAACATAGGAAACTGAGAATTTAAAGATACTTGGAACACAGAAAAAGAAAGAGTGTTGCACCATGAAATGAGGCTCTTGAGAGATTGATTTTGTTGAGCGCAATTGTTCAGGATATATAGATATGTTCAGTGTTGTTAACCAACAATTTGAAAGAGAGAACTTTTGTAGCCTACCAGTAGAGATTATATCAATCAGAAAAAAAAAAATATGTTTCAAATCTTTTTTATCAATCATGAACGATCAGATATTTGTCTTGACCTAATCTTAAAAAACCTACTTCCCCTGTTGTTTTCCATTATTGTCTTTGTACAGTATCAGCCACACTCTTAGAAGAAATGTGTAGAAAAATGACACAAATTATGTGTAGCACTTTAGATTACACATGTTGTGTAAATATTAGATAAAAATGTGTTGGAAGAAATCAGATGTGTTACACATAGTAATGTGTCATTTAAAATTAACACAATCTGTGTATTTGTTCACAACATCCAACACAAAATGTGTAGAATGATATTTACTGATTAGATGTACACACTCTGTGTCAATTTTTTTTGAGTGTCTCTCGGCTGGGAACAGACACATTCGGAAGAGCTGGGTACAAACTTGTCAAACCCATAGGCTCAACCCGTAAATAAATGAATCGATCCGTATCACATATATTTTATGTGCACAAATATCTTCCCCCTCAATAAAACTTGACAAAACCAGATTGGCTAAGAGGTAAAGACAGACAGAGGTGTCAAACTGTTGTTCTGAATGAGAAAGAGTGCAGTATTGTACAGGGCTGAGATAGAGAGCTGTAGTCGCTGAGAGGTCCTATAGTGTGCTTGTTCTCCAGTCTGCAGTCCTCCTCATATTTCGTTTAGGTAGAGGGTCACACTTGCAGCCTCTCTCTCAGCAGGAAGAGGCACTGATCTTCTCTGATACTTCAAGATCTGATTTGGCGACAAGAAACCGGAGCCGTCCTCCCCCCAGACGAATCAAATCCACAGCACTGTGAGAGACAGACATGCCAGGGTTAACAGAAACAATCATTGCAAAGGATCATGCCTGGTGAAAATGTCATGGTATATTTGTTCGCTAATATAGGGAGCCCTATAACCTCTGATAGTCTGCTCCAATGAGACTGGTCCCATTTACAGCCAGGATTCTGTCACCAATGCAAAGTCGCCCATCTGCAGCAGCCGGTCCATCTGGAATCAGTGTCCTGATATAGATTCCAGGAGAGTTCAGAGGGGTGTGCTGTATATGAGTGAGAAAACCGAGAACTGTTTTTTTTGCTTATTTTTTTTTAACAGAAAGTATGGAATCAAAGTGAAATGATCGGTCCCATCAGGCTAGTTTTAATTAAAGCTTATGATATGAATCAGAATTTTGTGTTTTTAAGTCTTTTCACCACTTTTAGCTTGCAGGCTAACATATGATCCACAACATAATCAAAAATCTGTCCAAAAAATAGGTTTGAATTTTATCACCAAAAAAATGGAAGTCATTTAGTTTGGCTGTTTTAATAATACTGAGGGATTAAAATATTCCAAAAAATATTCTATTCCAAAACCTATATTCTGGGACTATGGGGGATGCAATACTGCCTTATAATTGGGAGAAATCAGGATTCCTGACACTTTCAAAGTGAAATGTCCAGTGTGTGGGGCTAAAGGACATTCAGTTTTATCCGAAACAGATGAATATGAACCAGCGATGTTTTATTATGTTGGTTGTTGTCCATGTCACAGCAGTTCGGAAATGAAATGCGCTAAAAGGTTAATGCTCTATCATGTTTGAAAATGAAGTATTACCTACACTAAAGCCCACCCTGAACCTAAACAATACATTTAATTAAGTGATTATTGAGCATTAGTGATGAACACCTGCTGTTAACAAGCAGAATCACAGAAGGAAAGAGAAACACAAGAACTACACGTGTCTTCAGACACAATCTTAGATGAAATCAAATGAAGATAAAAAACGACATTACATCTCTGAAGATCTCAGTGGAGGAGGATTAAACAACTCCACAAACAGCATTACCAGCTTCAATTACGACTGACCAGATCAAATCTACAGAAGTTGGTATTGAGAATGAACAGATGCTTAGATGATGATGATGATGTATTATTTTATTTAAAGAAACCATGATAGTGGTCAGTGTTTGCTTTAGTTGGGCTCTTGACCCTTGACTTTATAACACCAGATTTTCTCTGGCTGCAACATCTTGCGAGATTATATCGCTTTAACAGATTAAACACGCAAAATTATGTCAAAAAATTTTGGTCTCGGTAAGTATCCTCTAAAGACAGTTGGTTATGGTTATATTAGCTTTAGCGTTTTTAACAGAAACGGAAATTTGCGGTTGTATGAGGAAGTTAAAATGATAGTTCAACCAAAAATGAAAATTCTGACATCAGCTACTCACCCAATAGTAGTTTTAAACTTGAGTTTTTTTTGTTTTGTTTTGATGAACACAAAAGAAGATATTTTGAAGAATGTTGGTAACCAAACGGTTACTTGTTTTTGCCACAGAATAAAACATTTTGAAGATAATTGTGACTTTTTATCTCACAATTGCGAGATGTAAACTCAGGCTGTATTTCTCGCAATTCTGAGATTTAAACTTAAAGGTGAAGTAAGGAGAAATAAACTTGTAATTCTGACTTTTCTGAGTTTTACTTTTCTTACATTTTCCTCAGAATTGTGACATAAACTCACAATTGTGAGTTATAAAGTCCAATTCGAAGCAAAAGAAAACTAACTCTTTTCCTCAGAATTTACATCACCCAATTCTGACTTTATAACTTGCATTATTTTTAGATAAAAAGTCGCTATTACCATTATTATTTTTTATTCTGTGGCGGAAACAAGCTTCCATACAACTGTTTGGTTACCAATGTTCTTTGAAATATCATGCACAAACTCTTCACAAGACTTTACTTTTACTTATCAGAAAAGTTATATATATATATATGAAGAGTTCAGATGCAAAAGCCTCTAAATGCCATTTGAAATTTTCTTCTTTAATGATGATTTTTGTCAAGCTTGTATATTTAAGTTCAGTGATTTCACTTAAATGGCAATGATAATTACCTATTAATTGTTATTTAAGTGAAATTACTGAACTTAAATATACAAGTTTGACAAAAATTATCATTAAAGATGAAAATTTCAAATGGCATTTAGAGGCTTTTGCATCTGAACTCTTCATATATAGAGCAATTTTGTGACACAGATGTCAAAATGTATTCAATTACAAATCATGAACTTGTAAAAGTGTTTTAAAATTATTACATAATAATATAAAAGGAACTGGGTGAAAACAAAAGCTTTATTAATCTAAAATCTACTCCTGTGATGATAATTTGTGTGAAAAGGATAATAAAATTCTGTCTGTTTTACATTTCAGCTGGAAACTGCAGTGAATTGCATGTATAGGTACATTTCACTTTTTTACTTTTTTTAGAGCGTTGCAAAAATGTAGGTTGAGACACTTTTCCAATGAGCCTATGTTGCAACACGCTGTCAAGGTTTTAGAGCAAATGTATAGTGTTATGGCTATGGGCATAGAACATTGACCACCAGAGTTAAAAGCAGACACAGACTCACAAGTCCATCGATAAGTCCCATCCCCAGGCCGTATAGTCCTTTATCCAGGTCCACTACAAAGACGGAACAGATATCATCAGAGTTTGGGTCCAGATGCGAGACAGGGACAGGGAAAGGAAAACCACAACCACTCAAAGGGCCTGGAGCGGGGCAGGGACAAACAAACACACACAAACAGACACACACACACACAAGACTCAGTGCTCATTTGACACACACACACATCTACACAGACTCCGAAGTCAGGCCAATAAACAAAATCAATGATCACAACGGGCAAATGCATCTGCTGCACATGCAAACACAGTTATTAAATCAAGGAAAGAGTAAACACACACAATACTGACAGAACTATACACACAGAACTCTGTGCATATGTTTATAAGAAATAAACACATGTATTCACACATAAACTCATTCAAGTGAAATAAAAATGTGATGTACACAAATCAGACATGATTACATGTCTGTTGTCGAACAACCAAAACTAATTTGCAGGCTCACACAGGCTCATTCCTACTACACAGTACATTGTGTCCTCATTGTTTTCCAACTGAATAAAATATATGATGTATATAATTTGTTTACTCTGATCCCAATATCATGATACGGTAAATATAGGAGTGACATATATATACTGCATAACAGGAATGACCCAAAAGACAAAATCTAGCAGAAAGAACACACACATCCACGACCCAAAAGGCGTTTTTGACTTGCCTTCAATGCCATTGCTGATGAAGCCATTGATTTTCTTGTGCTCTGGAGTAGAACGCATGCAACCATTGGACTTTGTGTGAGAGTGTGTATGTGTGTGCTCTTGTGAAGCATGCTCAGGGTAGTGGACTGAATTGGACTGTGTGTTGGAGTGTATATACGTGTGTTCCGGATAGAGGGGCGTATTAGGTGGAGTCAGTATACAGGAAGAGTCTGTCGCTTGGATTTGGTTGGCGTATCGGATGCTGGTCCCGTTTCTGTGGTGAATGCTGTGCGGTGGCTTGTCTCGGGGTCGTTCCTCAGCTCCCGCCCCCTCTCCTCTTCCTCCGAGACCCGCGGAGGAGCCCCGCACCTCCCCCTCTCCCTCCCCACGCATCGGAGGTGCTGCATGTGAATTGGTGTGATGCTGAGGAGTCTCACGCTGGAGAACAGAATTTTTATCATTAATTAATATCAATATTTTAAGTTGACGACCCTTAGAAAAAGCAATCTCAAGGTCAAACATGTCAGTTAAGTCACCATGAAATCAAAAAGTCTTATTTTTTATGGAATATTGCAGTGTTTGTGATAAATGATTTATCTATGAATATTTTTTTTTTTTAAATTCATGTGCCCTGTTTAATCTTTAATCAAAAAACTCTGACACAAACCACAACTATCCAATCAATTAGCCATGGACAAAATCAAGTCCCACCCTACATTTTTTTCTCGATCGAGAAGCCATTATACTCAAAAAATGTGTCGCAATAGAGAAGAAAAAACTATCGCAACTTCTGTTTCATGCCGACTTCAAAATCTGTTGACATATTTATAGATGGAATGCTATGATGAGACGAAGAATATGATTTTAAAAAATGTGTATTTTATTTTTACCTGAACAGTGCTTTGGAGAAAGGGACTTTACATTTGTATTATTTTCTACAACAATATTTTAAAGACCCAGTGCTTTAGTATTTTAACTATAGAGGGAGAATTATTGAATTGTTCTATATCTATAGTCCTTTAGCATGGTAAAAATGGCACTAGGGTTGCTGCTTTGTATAAAATGTACAGTCACTACCAAATAAATTAATAGAATGGCTGCCCTCTGCTGGAAACAAAAAAATACAATGGAGGAATGTTATTAACTTTTCATTCTGGGAATGTACATTTTGGGTGATTTCAACTTGAATAAAGCCATAAAGCAATTAAACTGAAGGCAAAACAAACAAACAATAAAATAAGCCTCGGATAATCCTTAAACAGCGTCCCAACACCAGAACATTTGTTGTGTTTTTTTTGTAGACTGACTCACACATGGTCCGTAATGTAGCCTGCAGCTCGTAATTACACAGTTAATCTTGTAATCAGATTAAGAACGAATCTCATGTCTAGAATTTAAATCTTAGTGTTGTAAGCTACAGTCTTTAAGCTAGTTCACAAGTTTGCATTTTAATAATGACTTGATTGAATGAAGCTGATATTGCATTTTTAAATATATTTTACCTGGGCTTCCTGCCGGTCAGCACAGCCATTAGAAGGATGGGTCTTGGTGCGAAGACCCCAAACGAAGTGACGAACGTAAAGTAGCTGGCGGTATATACTGTCCTCCACACAATCACTCTCCAGGTCCACCTTAAATCCAGCACTCGGCAGCACAATAGGAGGGTGGTTCTCAAAACTCTCCAGTAGATCAACTATTGAAAAGACATTTTCACAATGTACACTAGCATACACAAAACCCCTGGATTTAGATCAAGTCTAATCCCATTCATCCAGCACACCTACCGGTTCTGTAGATATAGGCCTCATCTTCACTGCTGGGTTGCCAGATTGGTAGAGGACCGAGCTCAGCCATGAGCTGGTATTGTGTGAGGATTCTGTGTAGCTGGACAGGTTTTAGGGACGGGTGCTCAGCACACAAAGCTTTCCAACTCATCTACAGACAAAAACACACACAAGAGCAGTTAATGTCTTTAGCATAGGGATTGGTGTTGGTCAAGCTACAGTCTACACTGCAAGCAACAACAAAATTTACTATTTATTAATTTGTTAAATTATTACTTGTATCTTTACTTGTATAACCAGACCAAAAAATAATATAATCAAAACATGATACTCTAAATATGACACAAAAAAAGAGATCTATGCAACCAAATTCTAAATTCAAATAAATAAATAAATAATCTGGAACTTCCAGAAACACTGCCAGGTGATTTTTTTTTAACACAAACACTGAAATTGACAGATTGAAAATGAAAAATATTCAAAAAGTCAATGTTTGTTTAGGTTAAGTGTCTCTGTAATCATTGATCAGAATAACTGACACTCAACAAACCTAGCCAGTTCAGATATTTCATGCGTTCTAGCTCAAGCACACCTGGTGCAACTAATGAAGCCCTTGATCAGAAGCACACATGTCGGATTAGTTGGATTGGTTTGCTTTTGTCAATTCGAAACTAAACCTGCAACCCTGAGTTTGTTCAACTACCATCATGGTTGCAGGAGTAGTTTCGAGTTGACAAAACCAAACCTATCCAACCAGGCTTTGTTGTTACCATGATGCTGATCATCACCTCTCTCTGTCAACTCAGGCTTTGATCCTGAGTTTAGGAGTTTAGGGGTGACATCAGTAGCGAACAGCGAATCACATGCTGAGAAAGAGTGAAACTGCGATTCATTTCTTGCGAGATAAGCAGCGCAATTCACTTATTAAATAAAAGTATTAAAATATTAAGATTTTAAAAAAACTTACACAGCAAGAAGAAAATAGCTGTCTATGAAAGAGGACACCTAAAAGAAAGTCTCGCTACTTTATATCAGTGCAAGTAAAAGTTGTGAAGTTAGTTTATACAGTTGATAAAGGTATAGAGAGAATTGAACATTTAAGCTCACATGTAATCATTTTATAGCTTCATTGACTCTAATGGATATTTATATTATCTTTGTATATTTATTAATTTAAACTCTGCGTAATAATAATTGCTGAATTGCTATACATGTGTGATCAATTAAGAGTATAATAATTACATACATTTTGTGTATATACATACATACATTGTATTTTACATACAATTACATAATAATTACAATAATTTTGCAGATGTGTGCTGTTGTGAGGGATTCTACTCAGGGAGTTTAATAATTTTGAGTCTGCGAAAGACATTAAAAGTTGAATTTCAGTTAAATTTGGGGAAACAACTTGAAAAATTTGTTGTGTTGGAGCTATTTCAATTACTTTTGTTTGATTTGTTCAATGCAACTGAAAGTCTGTAAATTTTGCCAATAAACATGATTTGGAATGGGGGTTGCAAATATACAACTGAATACAACTGTACATTAAAATGGAGAAGAAAAGACCATCACATTCCCCTTTTTTTTTTTTTTTTCCGACTTGTGCGCTTCATGCCGACTTTAATAGGTACACAAAACCAAATTCCAACACCCCTAGCCTCCCTGCATTACCTGTGAGAGCTGTTGTGGTGTTGTGGCCAGGATGCTCACAGCACTACAGAACTTGGCAAAGAATTTCTGTGCAAGATGACTATGTCCCACCCCTTTAGCCCAGTCCAGCAGCATCTTCACACTAGCCTGGATCTGCAGGACCCGAGAACGCTGAAACCAGCCACGTGCAGGGCCTAAGAACATACAATCACAACAAACCTTTTTTTCAGAATCATTATATAGCATATTGTAATACTTGTATGAGACTATGATTAATTATTGTACCTAATTAAAATGAGCTTACTGCAGTACTTCAAGTCAAAACCACTCTTCACACTTTATGTGAGTGTGTATGTGCATGTTTGTGTGTAAGAACAGCTCTGATCCTCTGTCTGTTGTAACATAAAGAGGATTATGGGTGTCTGAAGAAATAATCTTCACCTGACCATGAGTAATGCGCAGATGTACTATACACACAGAAATGACATGTGTCTTACACTGTCCTTTAAAAAAGAAAACTGATGGTAGTTTTGCAATATGCAATGCAAAACAAAATATTTTAAAAAGCAACTATGGTCATGATATATCAATATATATCAAATATTATCAAATATTGATCATATATCAAATATTATCAAATATTGATCAAATATTGATCATATATCAAATATTGATCAAAAGTGACAGAATATACATTTAAACTGTTAATACTGTTTTCCATTTCCATTTCTGTTTTCTATTCATCAATTTTTCTATTCAGCTTTGCCATCACAGAAATAAATTAAATTTTACAATATATTCAAATAGAAACAAGTATATATTATATTATACAATATTTTACAATTTATTCAAATAGTTATATTTCACTATATGCCTGTTTTACTGTTTGCCATGAAGAGCATAACATACTTATTTAAAAAAACATTTCAAAATATAACCAACCCCAAACTTCTGAATGGTATTATACTTAATTAGTAGAATAATTAGTAGTATTTTTTAAGCTATTTTGAAAATCTTCCTATTCAATTACACAGAATACACTTCAAATTAGGCAAGTTTTTCACTGAACAATGACTTAAAAGCTATCTTACAGCTTTAGGGGACTGGAATATATCGCACACAAGTTGTCATTCTACGCTCATTAGAGGAGCAGCCACATATTTCTTATCATGTACCCTGAAAAAACATAATTTGGAACAAAATTAAGTAAAAATGTATTCCCTAAGAAAAGAACCAATGGAGGAAGTCCATTGGCTCAGAGTATCTCCAACACTAGAGTAAATATTATGTTCCAATCCATCAGTGTCTCCATTCTGATATCTTGTTTCATTCTTTGCATATCTCTCACCCCTTTTTTCTACTGCCTGCAATTGCTGACACACAACCTGTGTCCTGTTGTTGCCATAGCAGCAGTGGCTGCTTAATGAAAATATATCAAAGGGTGTGTGTGTGTGTGTGTGCGTCTCACCTTTATCGATGAGTTGATTGAAGAGTGAGACATTGGTGAAGAAGAAGAGGTAGGCGAACATTTGACTCTGAATCTCTGCATGAACCTGGTACTGCTGCAGCAGGTCTGATGTAGTCTGAAACACACTCACCACCCTGCGAACCGCCTCTGGCATCACACACACAGCACAAACACACACTCCAACAGCCCGCCGGCACTGCTCTGATGAAGACTCTGTCCCAAACGGGTTACAGTCCAACAGCCCAGGCAACACAACGTACAAAGTCTGAAATGTAAACAGGCATTTGTTAAGACATTGATAACTAGACACCAACAAATATACATTAATTATAGGGCTGTCACTGATATAATAAATTAATTTAGTGTTATTATTTTAAAAGTGTCACTAATGAAGGATTAGGACCGTTTCCTCTTTTGTGTTACCATTAGTGTAGTCATTTTCCTGCGGCTCTTTCGGCTCTTTTCCAGACTCTTACTCAGTCACATGACAATTATGACTCAGCTGATTGGCTCAAAAATGCACAATGAATGACCTGAGATGTCTCAAAACTACATGACATCTTGTATGGAAAAAAAATCACTGACAAAATTGTCAATAAGTTGGGATAGGTACGATTTTCTTATGTATCTTATGCAAAAACATTATTTAAAATGTAATTTATTCTTGTGATACCAAAGCAGAATTTTCAGTATCATTACTTCAGAAATCTAATATGCTAATTTCATTTGCAACTTTTTTTATTATCTATCGAAAACTGTTGTGCTGCTTAATATTTTTGTGTCAAATGTGATATTTTTTTTTTTTTTTTAGGATTAAAGAATAGAAAGTTCAAAAGAACAGCATTTATTTGAAATAGAAGGAGGTAGAGGAGAGGAAGACCCACAACACACACAAGAAGCCACACACACATTAAATAATTCATTCCCAGCAGCCCTGTTAACATCTCAGAAGGGCGGCGCCACACATATAACGTAATACTACCCTTTACCTTAGTGATGTAGTAGACACACTGCTGAAAGGTGTACATGATCACTTCCTCCAGTATGGTCATAGCCTCTTCATTTGCTGATATTGTTGCTGAGAGGAGAGATTCTTTAGATCCTGCTGCAATTAGAAACAGTAAAAAAAAAATACAATTAGCATTTCATTTAACATTTAATGTGTCTTTTATAACCTCTAATCCCCCTGTCTTGTTAATCTTGTTTTTAATTTTGTCTATATTGGGCCCCATAGACCCCATCTTTGAAAGTCTACTATAAAAACAATTGAGAAGGACTTTTTCACGCTGTATTTAACCCTCAGGTTACCATCGTTTCAAACCCTGCTTTGGAGGGACGTTTCACACTTAGCACTGCTTTTTATTCAAGGATATGCTGCTTAGCTTTTTCAGTGTTAACCAGTGTTGCCAAATGTGTACAGTGTGCAACAATGTGGTGTTCGATTGTTATGATTCGTCACAGAGACGCGAGAGATGTATAAACAGTCGTTTTAGCATTTGATGAGGAAAAATACAGATGGAAAACCCGTCAGTTACAGTGAAGAAGAGACTGTTTCATTCTTTTATAGTCCGAAAAGTCCATTCAGGAAAACTTGATAATAAGCGATGCACGAGGACACGCAATGCAAGAGCGTTTAAATAAACAGGTCGCGCACTGCGCTTGTCCAATCAATGACACTGACACCGCAAATATGCAAATAAGAATGCTTTCCTGTAGCTAAAACAGTAAATCGTCGGCGCTTGCACCGCCAAGGTCATGGGTTCGATTCCCAGGGAAAGCTGATAAGAATTTTAATGTGTACCTTGAAATGCAATGTAGGTCACTTTGGATAAAAGCATCTGCCAAATGCATAAATGTAAATGTAAGAACATTCATGTACAGTGTGAAACGGCAGTTTTATGTATACACAGAATTAAAGGCAGGTTAGACGATTTGTTCCAGAAACATTTTTCTGTTATGCTGGTTGAATGTCTCATCACATCCTGATTGCAATCACTACGTTAAAGGAGAACTCCGGCGCAAAATGAACCTTTGGTCTAATAACACATTGGTACCAAGTCAATTGTTCGCTGAGATTTGTTTTCATGATAATCGAATGTAAAGAGTTTTATCTCTAAAAACTGTTTAGCATAATGCTAGTACTGTGGGGCATTTACTAAAAGAAATCGCTAGTTTATCACTAACAAGGCTCAAAATAGCCCCACACTCACACAGTAACATTATGAGGGTCCATACATGCAAAACGAAGCATTGAGCACTTTGTAAGTGTACAGACCGTTTAATAGGAAGATACTTTATTAAGACAGTTCACTTCGTGTATACAGACAGGAGCCATCTTACAAAATAGTCTTGACAAGTCGATTCCCAAACGCCGTTCATACAGTTCAGCTCACTCAGCTTGATGTTCGTGGTTTGACTTGTCGTGACTGTTTTTCAAGATGGCTCCTGTCTGTATACACGAAGTGAACTGTCTTTATAAAGTACCTTCTTATTAAACGGTCTGTACACTTACAAAGTTCTCAATGCTTCGTTTTGCATGTATGGACCCTCATTATGTTACTGTGTTAGTGTGGGGCTATTTTGATCCCTGTTAGTGATAAACTAGCGATTTCTTTTTACTTATGTAATGCCCCCATTACTAGCATTATACGCTAAACAGTTTTTAGATATAAAACTCTTTACATTCGATTATCATGAAAACAAATCTCAGAGAACGGTTGACTAGGTATCGATGTTTTATTAGACCAATAGTTCATTTTGTGCCGGAGTTCTCCTTTAAGTGGTATAAAGGTATTTATATGTATATCATCTCCTGATCCAAAACAACAAGCTTATGTTGCGTTTACGCCATAACTACTGCAATTAGGAATGGAAGAGATTTCCATACCCGTGACATTATATTCGGAGTGGTTCGTGACTTGAATTCACTCCCTGAGAAGACAAAGGACCATGCTGGAAATTAACATTTGAACTCTCTCTTGTGAAGTTCTCACCACAATTTGAGACACAAATCCAACCTAAGCAATCCTAATCTATCTTTTTCGCTTGACCCTCCATTCCCCTATTCCCTCTTTCTATCATGTTGAGATTACCAGAAATTCACCCAAAATTGATGTGAATAATTATCAAACAGTATTACACATGTTTGGAATCATTTGAAATGTCTCAGTGCGACTGGTACAAATGTCTCATTCTCAAAGTGGTAAACCAAAAGAGTTTTAGGGATAACCTGTACAAAGAGGAGGGTGTGCCTTCCAGGCAAATCGCACTCTGTCCCCAAGAGGTGTAAACTACACCTCTTATTACACCTCTTGAATCAACTCTGTCTATATAATGAAATGTAGCAAGAGGCTCGGGGCGATATGTAACTCAAATTAGCCCATAATGTTGAAGGACCTCAGGGCTTCAGCATTAAGTATTTTGTCCTACGCATTTGATGTTATTGTATTGATTATCTTTGAACTGCTTATGAAATTGGCATGATACATTTACCTGACATAATAAATGGTAAACATTTGATTTTATTCTAATGGACATTATTTTCAGTAAAGAGTTAAAAAGAATAGTCAAACATTCGCTTACATTTAATGATGCATTGATGATATCATTAAAACCTTTTCATTTATGGAGTCAGATGAAATAACGAGTTAGTACATGAAATTTGAGTCTGGCTTACACAATCAATTTGGAAATGAATCTGCAGCAGTCAGGTAGTACAGGTCAGAGTTCAAGTTGTTTATGTTCATTATTATTGTAATGTTATGTGCTTTGAGACATGAGGTAGTTTAACGCCGTCCCTTGGCATGGCTTTGGCGTGGCTTTGAAAACGCTCTAAAGGGAGGGTGGGATCTTATGCTTTCAAAAATAGCTCGCTATTGCTAGCCTCTTAGAAAATTGCCTACCCTACTTTTAATTGTTAATCCTGGGTAAAATATGAGCACAAGAAAACCCAGGATTCCGTTAACCCTGGGTTTGGAAACTATTTTAAGTGGAAAAAGCCTAGCGTTTCATACCTTTATCGTCCATGAGCTCAATAGTCTGCATGTATGCAGGGGACTTCTGCTGGATAAAATACAGTATTTCTATGGCATTGGACATCCAGAAGAAAATGAACTGGAGATCAGGTACTAGGTCTGAGATGCTGAGCAGAGACAGGGAGGCAGGATCTTGACTGTATAATCATACAAAAACACACACATTCAATGGTTTGACTCAGTAGCAATGCTTTCAGAATTGGTGACAGCCTATTCAGCGCCAAGTGACCTTAGAGTGTCACACATTCAAAGTGCACGCATGTGCTTATTATAAGGGGGAACATGATACTCACTGCTGAGCTTGCTTCTGTGCCAACTCCTTTGTCTTCTCCTGCGAGACACAGACACGGACGGCAATTAATGTCATCAAATTTTGAATAGCTGCATGTGGGAGGTATAATACATCAGTCATTTTTTTTTTGTTTTAACCTTTCCTTTCTTGCTCTTTTCTTTGGCTGGTTAATATTGGGGCTGATGGTTGACCTTCTAAAATTGGATTTTAATAATTGATGAGTTCAAAGACGGTCATTAAACGCATGTTTCATTGGGGCAGGATTAAAGGGACATTCACAAAATTCTGTAGTGTTTAAATCAACAAAGAAAAATGCATTTGTCAACAAAGACAAAAGGCCATGTGAGGTGAATACAGTACTGACCCTCACAGCAGAAAATCAATCAATGGGTCTTCTGGGACTGATCCTCTTCATGCAAATGCTATTGCTATGCATTTTGTATAAAAGAAACACGCTTGCACTTGGACAATGTAAACAAGCAGAAAACTCTTTCATTTCTTATGTGCAAAATTGTAAAACAAGTCATTTTTCAGATGGAGACAAGACTTGCCCTGCTTGCCATTTCATCATTTTCTTCTCCCATACTAAAACACAAGTAGTCCCAATGACAGTGGGAGGAGCCAGAGGAATTATGGGAAATGTAGTTCGATGAGTGACAGACAATTGAGTGGGCCAAGTATGCAATTAAAAGTTTTAAACAAGAATTCTCTTAAAGGTAAAGTGTGTAATTACCTAGAAGCTAAAATCAAATGTTTTGAATACTACAAGTGAATTTAAAATCAAACAACAAATGTACAGTGAAAGTGTTACTTTTAACATTACTATTAATTATTAAGATTCATTTTAAGTTAGTTTTAGATGATAGCAAAGGTAATCTAAATGCAAAAATAGGGGAGATATGCATGCACAATTAAATATGATAAATATCAGAGATTCATTAATTAAATATCCAATATGGCACCAGTATTTTGCACTTCCCAACTTTGTAGGAAATGAAATATGCAATCTCAAATTGGGAGAGAAGTATATGAACATGGAAAAAATAACACTTTTTCATCTTTAAACAGATCTGAGTACTAACCCATGCGATGGTTTGAATCCTCTTGGAAATTTTCAGCAATAGTTTACCAAAGCTGCCAGGTGGAAATGTATTAGCTGAGTGCTTGATGCATAGACAAAGCAAATATGCTGGTGTCAGCTTGTGGTCATCCCCGCTCGGCTCAATAAGTGTCAGCATCCGGTTCACCAGCGCATCCTCGTGAGCCCGGTCAAATTCCAACGCCAGCTTTCTCTTCTGTGCACCTCGCGCTGGAGCCTTAGAGCTGCGCCGAGACGCCACTGGTTCATGTAATACGGCCCCACACATACGACATGCCTCTCCTTTCTCAGGCACACCCCCCGACTCGCTATCGCAAAGTCGTGCCAGCGCCCGAAGTCGAGTGAAAGTTTGGCCAGGAAGAGGTTTCGCACACAGTGGGTCTTTGTACAGGAAGATGTAATGAGCACCAAAGGACAGCAAATCCCCATGACGTAGCGGAGTGGGCCGCTCAATACGCATGAAGTTAACCAGAACATTGCCATGGGCGACAGGTTCTAGAAGTAACCGCTGGTCCGAGGAAGAGCGCCGTTGCACAGCACGACGTATTCGGCAGTGAAGTGGAAGCACATCCGGAGACGACAGGCAGATATTTGGCCGTGCTGATGCTGTTTCCTGACCAACTGTGTGTTGCTCTCGATTCAACAGGTAAACCAGGCAATCCTGACAAACAAAAGCAAATCAAGCAATAAACAACTCCAGACAGGAGTGATACAAAAATGGTTTAAGAAAGTTCTGTGACGCATCAAAAAAAGAAATGTATTGTATATATACATAATAATGTTTTCACTTATGCTACACATATGGAAGGGGGGAATCTCCTCAACCACCAATGTGCAGCATCACCAGGTGATGATCACCTGGATGATACGACGGCAGCCATATTGCACCAGAACGCCCATCACACACCAGCTTATAGGTGGAGAAGAGCCAATTAGTATATGGATGATTAGGAGGCCATGATGGACAGAGACCAAGGCCATCAATTTTTGATGTTTTTGAAAGATGTGTCTACGTGGCTGCAGGTATTTGATAAAATATTGTAAAACATAAAATTTTAAATTTAAAAATAACTGGTTTATAACTGAATATAATGTAAAATGCAATTTATTTCTGTAAAGGCAAAATTTTAATTTCAGCATCCATGATCCATCAGATATTCTAATACGCGAATTTCAGCCCGTTCTCATCCCAAGGCGTCACTGACCCTTTTGACATTTCGTCTACATCCAACGCACATGGCACCCTTCAATATGAGACGCAGAAATATGAAGCGCCTCCTAGTGGTCTAACCCTACCCCAGACCTAAACCTACCCATAACCGAACAAAGCTCTGTGTGAGTTATATTGACGCTAAAGGGTGTCATGTGCGTTGGATTTAGACGAAATTTCAAAAGCGTCACTATATGACGCCCTAGGATAAAAATGCGTTGGCTAATTTGGTGCACAAGAAACATTTCTTATTATCATCAATGTTGAAAACAGTTGTGCTGCTTCATATTTTTGTGAAAATCATGAATATTTTACACTGAAAAAAATAATATGCTTCATCTAATCAATAAAATTGTGGCAACATATTACAAGCAATATTATTAATTAAATTGTCCAAATTAGAATTAATTAGAATATTAATTTGATTAACTATTACTCAATTCTAATTTGTTCAATTTAATAAATAATATTGCTTGTAATCTGTTGCCACAATTTTATTGATTAGATAAAGCATATTCATTTTTACAGTGTATTTTTTTCCTGATGAATAGAAATTTCAAAAAAGAACAGCATTTATAGATATCTTTTCTAATGTTATAAATGTATTTACTGTCACTTTTGATCTGTTTAATGCATCCTTGCTGATTAGAATAATTAAATTCTTAAAAAAAAAAATACTGACCCCAAACTTTTGAACAATATAGACATTGTATATAGGTGATTTTGCTTACCTGTTGGTTGTACCCTTGAAGGAGCAGCAAGTGTGGTGATTGGTAGAGAGAGTGTTTAACTCCGCCACCATCTCGTTCTTTACGGATCTCGGCGTCTCGTGCAGAGCGTGTTCTGATTGGCCCTGGGAGGGTGGAGTAGTACCGTTTAGGTTCCTCACCAGGCAGTCCCACCAAGTTAAGGCTGGTTTCACTGAGGCTACGGCAAAACGAGGAGCCGTGCTTGAGTGTCATTGTTCCTTTAGCACGGTTTCTTTGCAGCTTCCTTGCTTGAGCATTGATATCTGCCATAGAGAGAAAACCACTTAGGTAATTGTCATACATTGTCCTTAGCCACAACACTAACCTTATGTGGTTTAAACAGATGTCTGCTGACTCAAAATTGCTTAAAAAATAATTTCAGAAAGACGTGTAACCTAATTTGTGCTGTCAGAGGGTTGCAGTGATCTTAAATTATGATACAGCCAAAATGAAAACACACAAGTAGATTTTATTTCAGGCATTAAAAGACAACAGTGGATATGGAGGTGAAACGCAAAGCATAACAAAGAGTCTATTTCGGTTTTATACCATGCTTAGTAACCTCAATTTAAGTTCAAACAAAGCAAACATTGAATCATTTTGTGGTACTTTTGGCTGCTTTTTTTTTTTTTTGTCCGCATCCCCATTCACTGCATGGAAAAGAACAGAGCAAACATATTGCAAAAACTGTTTCAAGGAAGAAAATAAAGTTTAGAGGCATAATAAAATAAAATGTAATATTCTTGTGGGATGAGGGATAAATGGGGTAGTACATGGGCATAGGAAGTCAACACTTGATTATGGGTAAATTATGGGTCTGAAAAATAATGGTACTGAAATATGGAGGTGGGGCTGGTGGTTGACACCATACCTGAGGACAGTCCCCACCTTTTACAATAGTTGTACAGGGCTGTATCAAACGCCAGCCCCGGGGGGAGCTCCGATGGCATCTACCATGCCCGCTTCTACTCAAGGTTGAAGATAGCACAGGGGAGTTTGTGTGGGTCCCTGGGCATGGGTAAACACCACAACAAATATAAATCACCAACAAAACCATGAAAATACACACACAATTCTATTTATTTACTCATGCCATTCTCCACCATCTAAATGTTCCTGTGAGTCATAGTAGCATAGAAAATGAGCCCCATATGCTTTCTTTTTTTTTTTTTTTTTTGGATATTACCTTTCATGAAGTGTGTAATATAGTTGTTTGTGAATGTAAAAGGTCTGCAAAGTTTCACAGATCAAAGTTCACGATAAATAAATGCATGAGTTATTGTCTCCCAAAAGAAATAACTGATTCTGCACTGCCTGAAATGAGTCATCAGCAATTCCTCTGAAGGTTTGTAACAAAATTGCATAATGCCAGCCTTTCGTCATCATTGGCTGCCAGCGAACAACATATAGACTTCGACCCGCCCTCAAATGTAGATGTAGGCCTGGATGAGTTTAGTTAGTGTTGTCGACATGCACATCCAAAGCCTCATCAGTTGGGCTCGAATTGACGATATACAAACAATATCTAACTGTAAAGAGCTGAGGAAGCCTCCAAAATTCAGATATGGTAATGGCTATTTAATTTCTAACACACACTTTAAGCATCAGACCAATTACAACAGACTGGACAATCTGACCAAACAGATCAGAGTAGGCTTCCAGAAAGGAGGGCTGCAGGGAGACTGAATCCGAACCATTTCATAGACTGTTAAAAAAAAAAATTCTGCAATGTATTTTATGAGAAAATTGAAGTATTTTTTGACTTTGGATACATGTAAACCTATTGTAAGAGACTTCCACAACAAAATTAAATTAGCAGCCTTTAAAATAGCATAAAAGGGGCACTTTAACTAGCATTTCATGTGGTTTTGGTTGTATAATAGATATAGGGGTGTAACTATACCCTCATGTCACAATTCAATACATATCTCGATCCTGAACTCACAATATGATATTATTGCGAGACTCCAAGACATATGGTAAATGGTTAAAGATTAAAATGCTAAATTCGATATTACATTGTGTGTGTAAATGAATAGACTTGGTGCTGGAAACCCAAAGCACAGGACAATAGAGACACCAGAATAACAATATTCATGATATCAATACAGAATTATTTTAGACGAACATGCTTTCACTCTAAATTGTTGTATTTAAAATATTGTTGGCCACGTTTAACTGGCAACATCAGAGATTTGACATTATCAGGACCCACAAATATTCCCTCAGTGTATTATTATGCATTATATTCTGACACTAACTCTGTAAACATGATTTTTTTTTCTTGCATTGTAAATTTTGGATGAACTAAACGCAATACATATTATCACTATTCACGGTATTGTATTGTGATATATTGTGACATGATACATTGTTACACCCAAAATAGATTCTACAATGATTTCTACGTGTTTTTGAAGAAACTGCTGATATAGGATTGAACTCTTAGAAGAAATGGTTCTATTTAGAACCAGAAATGCTTCCATCCCCCGCTTTATATATGGAACTGCAAAATGGTTCTATATAGAACCATTTTTTTGGTAAAAGGTTCTATTGGCCAAGTATGGAACCCCAGGGTTCTATATAGAACCCAGAGGAACCCTTTTTTTTAAGAGTGTATAGAACCTTTTAGGGGTTCCAAATACGTAGCGCTGACAGAACCTTTTAAGGATCTATAAAGAACCTTTTCTTCAATGAGTGATAGTTAAATTTAAATACAGTTCTACAATATTCTGACACTGTGCTCATGCAGGTATAACTGCCAATTCCAAACCTGTCATAAAACGTGCATGTGTTGGTAAATACCTAGACACTATCCATAAAGCCCCCATGTAGCATCTGTCACTGAGAAATATGTGCGTGTGCAGATGGTGGTGTTGACTTGCAAATGTAATCCCCCGACCCTTCTTCACCTTTACTCATCCATGACCTTCCGAAACCCTTGATCTATGTATATGCCTCCATCTTCTCAAACATCACTGCCCTTTTGATTGACTGTGAAAAGCACGACGCATGCATTTTTGGGAACAGTCCCAATGTGAGCATCACTTCTCACGAAGAAACAGCAGGATGCTAAGCCAGGTTTAAGAAGACCACTTTGAACAAGCTTAAGGACTAAAATCCTCTGATAAGCCTGCGACATTTTCATTAATTAAAATGCAAACACACGTAGACAAGAACTACAAAAATTGTGCACTTAATAGCACTGTAGCAAGCTCACAGAAAAATCCCCAAGATTCCATAATGCATGATATGATTTTTCCAAAAAAAGCAGATTAAATGGAGTTCCTAGTTACACAATCCAAACTACTGTAGTTTGGAGCTTTTTTTTAAATTGAGAACATTCCCAAAGGAAGGTTTTGTCAGATTAACACACTTCTGGGGATAATTTCCCCCCCAAATACATCTACACTTAGAATCCAATACAGACACGCATACATTCTTTCTATCCCACCAAGAAGAATAGCACTTCAACCTGAGGATAAATTATCCTGAGTAATGTTCCTGCTGATATTGATTTAACTTCCACCTTGTGTTTTGGCTCAATGGCCACCTTGTTGAATTTGTAATTTAGTACAACAGCATTCAGGCACAAACAGAAAGAGAGAGACAGTGAGGGAAAGATGTTATGAATAGTCTGCAATAAAAGTGCACAAATAAAATAGTGAAACTGAGACCTCAATTCAACTACTGGAGGCCGGCCATACTACGGCAGATCCAGTCGTGCATTTATCTCTGGCACTTGCTCTGACACCTGCGAGTCGGCATTAGCAAACCTGAGCAGCCCTGAATGACAAAGAACATTGACGATCTAGTGCCAGTTATCACATCTTTACCATAGTGTTGATTGGAGTGATTCGTTCAGCACCACTTTTATCTTCAGATAGCACTTAAAAGGAGTGATGTGATAGCTGATTTTAAGCTTCTGTTAAAGGTCCCTTGACATGAATTTTTTTAACATTAATATTAGTTCCCCTAGACTATATTTGGTCCCTTCGTGTCTAGAGTTTTCACCCGTGAGCATTCTCGTGTAAACAGGGCCTCAATTGACGTCATTTCAAAGATAGATAGAAGGGCATTGTACAAAATTAAATTTGTAGCGTAATATATAACGATACCTTACTTTTTGCTTTTTAGGCTGTTTTTAAAACGAATGCATAAATTTTGTCTTCACGACTGTTGTCTTTGCCATAATTAACATTATAGCACTAAATATATGATGGTGCCATTTTGTGGTGTAGGAGATCAAATTTCACATTTCCCACTTCCGACGTTTTCTGGAATCAAACAAAATTATCCAACAATTGAGCAGTCAAAGCTGTTTGGAAGCTATCAGTTAGCTTAATACTGATCTGATCATGACAGTCATGCTAATGCTGCGTTCCAGCCTGGAACTATCAAATCTTGTTCTTGAAAATAATGAGTGAAACAATGCTTGAAAGCAAACATCTGATCAGTTCAATGCTAAAAAAAGGTATTTTAAATTATATAATTTATTATATTAAAAATTAGTTGTTAAAATTGTTTAATTTTTTTATTGAAATATTATAGTTACATTTTTTTTGTTTTTATAATTGTAACTATAATATTGGCAGCTTTCTTCAAAAAATAGACCCCTTTGACTACCATACTTACTTTCAAAAAATAAATACTATGGAAGTCAATGGGGTCCATCAACACTCTGGTTACCAACATTCTTCAAATGTTCTTCTTTTGTGTTCAGCAAAAGAAAGAAACTCATACAGGTTTGAAACAACTTGAGGGTGAGTTGCTAAATGATTTCATTTTTAAGTGAACTATTCCTTTAACAGAAGGAATAATGTGCTTTCATGCATTTTTTTGCCCTGCTGTACAGGATTTTCCTGTTTCAATTAATTAAGACATAAAATCACGTGGCAAGAACATCCTCTCCTGTTTCTCAACGAATGCATTTGTGCATTACCTGCAGTGACTGTATCCTTCTCTTTTGCTGCCAGTTCCTCAACCTCAGCTCTTCTCCTGAGCTCAAAGCGGCGAGAGTAACCCTCCTTTGGCTTCCAAAGGTCCTGCAAGAGAAGGGGCTTTTCGTTGTTCCCTAGCGCCCGAAGGCACTCAGTCCGCCACCGCCGGTCTGGGCCCTCAAACCGTCCAATCACATCACACAACACATAGCTACAAACTGAGGCCTTGTTTAGAGAATAGCGATCAAGCGCCTCTTTGATCAACTCTTGGGCGCTGGAACGAGGTGTGGCAAGGACGCTTTTGTAGTTAGCGCCAGCACTGATTTCATCACCAAATATCTTCAGCACACCTGGTGCAGATGATTGGGTGGAAAGCTCAGCTGGATCGTCCCGTACCTGCTCAGGTAGGTCGGTCACAGAGCGACGATCCCGATAACTCAGGGTCCGGTAAAGAACCTGCGTAAAAGTGCGACTCTGTCGCTTCAGGCGGTTCTTGGATGGCAGAGACATGCTGGCAGATGAGGAACCGTAGAACATGGTGCCGGAAAGTGCATTGGTTAAAAAACCCCTAGAACTGAGAAAACAGTAAATTGTAACAAATGGCAACAACAGTGTTACTATTCACAACCTTACATGTGTATATACAAATATATATACACACATACATATACTAAACAAACTTTTATGTTGGATTCAATTGATTTGACAGTATATATACTGTATATATACACAATTGTATACAAACTGTACTGGAGATACAGACGAGTTTAATATACACAGAGTTAGTTTCAGAGAGGCAGACAGACAGGATGGGCAAGGCTGAATTTCTGTGTAAAGCAAACAGGGATGTTGCCAAATATATGATGGAAAATACAGCTTGATGGAAAGAATAGGTCTGGACAGCTATGCTATAATAATTTAGATAGATAGATAGATAGATAGATAGATAGATAGATAGATAGATAGATAGATAGATAGATAGATAGATAGATAGATAGATAGATAGATAGATAGATAGATAGATAGATAGATAGATAGATAGATAGATAGACTGCAGAGATGAGTGTCTCCAATCCTGCAGACATGAGAAACACCTTCTAAACTGTATGAGAGAGAGAGAGAGAGAGAGAGAGAGAGAGAGAGAGAGAGAGAGAGAGAGAGAGAGAGAGAGAGAGAGAGAGAGAGAGAGAGAGAGAGACTGCATCAGCTAAAATCCCCACTACTCGGCAGTCTAAACGGAGACCATCTGCTCGTGCGTGAAAATACTTCACCGTGCTCCTGAAGCCTATTCACAAACAGTTGAGGCTGCGTCTTATTGAAATAATATCAGTCTACAGGTAGCCTACATCTAAAGTGTTCGATTAATCAATTTTTGCATCCTATGTGCACAATTATTCAAACAAAACGTTATTTGATTCTTAAAGGTACAGGGCATTAAGAGAATGAATAATTTAACCTTCATGAACATTTTACACTAGCCTACTGTAATGTAACTGCGCGTGCATAAGATCAGCACTTTTGAACTGGCGTATAGCCTACAATAAAGAAAGTTTCTTTTTGGTTCTTAAAAAGGAAAAACATCAAACACAAGGTTGCAAAATAGTTCTTACCTGTCACGCTCGTGTTATTCACCGTGTGTTGAAGAGAAGCTCATTCGAAGGCATTAATTTTAAAGAAGCGCGTCGGGCTACTGCGGGTCTCCACTAGCAACGGCGCGAGCCAACAAAGGCACCTGCTCGCGAGTCCTAATCCGCTTGTGCGTCTTAACGGGTCTCCGCCAGCCAGTCTCAGTCAGAGCTCTGATCCCTCACAAGCCGCTCGCCTGACTCCTGTTATTGACATTTGCCAGTATTTCTTCTTGTTCATATGTTAAATTAGCTCTACGGGCCGGTGGGATACAGTTTTAGGTCCGCCCAGTCACTGTCATGGAATGCGACAACGTCTACCTGTACAGTAATAGTGAGGTGTCAAACATAGATATCAATGTAGACAAATCTATTGTTGGTATGCTCGGAATGCCTTACCTGCTGGTTTTATTTTTCGGCGCTGCTCCTGGATAGCCGTCGGAGCTGTTTATCCCTTTCCTTTTCTTTTTTTGCCCGTCTCCACTGACTACTACACTGTCTGCATTCCCTCAGCCGACTGCAGCCGGAAACAGCCGAACCGAGAAATTGAAGCTCTCTCGCATTGTTACGCTTGGACGTTTAGGTAGGGTGTATGCTTTGCCATAGAATATGTAATAGGCTATTTCGCGAATTAAACTGAGGCTACATGAGATAGGAATGAGTTTTGATTCAACTATATTACATTTGTAGTGGACAAAACTATAGGCTACATGCAAATGATAATATAAAACTACACTAGTCTAGGCATTCATTTAAAGAGGGTGCACTTTGTTTTTCTTGCATTAAAGTAGCCTACTGAGTAACATACTAAAGTTACACACATGTACCATGATTAGGCTAATGTTATAGCTAACAAAAAGTGCTCTCTTAAGTTCAACTAATTGCATGTAATATAAATACAAATTGCAAATAACATGAATATGGGGATATTATAGGAGGCCAATGGGCAATTTGGTTAGGAAGCCGGGGTTACACCCCTATTTTTTTATTTTTTTTTCAAAGGACATCCCGGGATTTTTAATGACCACAGCGTCAGGGCCTTGGTTTAACGTCTCATCCAAAAGATGGGGCTTTTTGACAGTATTGTGTCCCATTATTGTATAGGACCCACAGAGACCACAGGGAGAGCGCCCCCTAATGGCCTCACTGACACCTATTCCAGCAGCAATAGTTTCCCCATGGTCTCCGGTACCAGCCACCAGGCTCAATCCTGCGAGCTTCAGTGGGCAACCAGTCTTCTGAAATAAAATCTATCACCCTGTAGCCAAAGGGGGACTTTATAAAATGCACACCAGTTGATGAAAATATATTGCAATATTATACTTTTTTGTGTCCCTATGTGCAAATAAAGAGCCTGTAAAAAATATTGTTGTTTTAACTTAAAAAAGTAAGTTGGTTGCCTTAAAATTTTAAGCTGAGTTTGAACTGGAAAAAGTGAGTTAATACAATGAAGGAGATTCATTTAATCATCAGAAACTCAAAATAATAAGTTATCTCAACTAAATAAATTATTTAAGTTGATTTGACAAAAGAAAAAAATGTTGTGATAACAAATCTTGAAAATATTTTTTTACAGTGTAGTTCAACTCCAGTGAGCTAGGCAACTATGATCAATATTTTTTCTACACACTGATTCTGAACAAATATAAAAAAATAAGGCAAGAACACCCATGTGAAAGAACATTCATTAACTAGCCTATTGCCTAGGCCTACTAACTATAGCAATACAGTGTATTTTAATATCATGTTGAATGTTAGATCCGTACCCAATCCATTAATCTTTCTTGGGATTGAGTTTTATTAGGCTATATGACAGTTAGTTTCTAAATTTATTTTGGCTACAATTCTTGGTTTAAGAGAAACTGCAGTTAAAATAATGTGCAAAGCTTAAAGAATAAATGTTATGCAAATGTTCGGGTGACTGGGAATAGCAATTTAATGTAATTTGGGCACTTTACTGAAAATGTCTGTTAAGAACATGGCAGATCTCTATGAATAATTAATTCCAGTGGAACGACTAATAGATCTGAAGTCTCCCGAGGGTGTAAAATCAAAATGGGGCCCTCTGCTGGGACATCAGGCAGCTCAGAAAGAGGCATACACTCATTCAAATCCCAGGATGTTTTTGGCTCACATTTGTAGGCCTACATTAGTGTTTAAATCTGTATTGGTATAATGGATTGATCCATGGCATAAAAATGATGAAAGATCCTTGAAAGTAGACAGCTCATTTTGTACATACGAAACATTGCCATTCTTTTTTGATCACAGTGAAGTTAAACCAAACTAGAATTGCGACATCTGGTGGTTTGGTGGTAGAACTGATGGCAGAGAAATACTGTAACAATGATCTAATATAGCCATTTGCCTAGACTATTAAAACATGATTTAATTAAAAGCCAAATCTATTTGTATGCATTTTATATGGAACATTTTAGTTAAAATGTGAAAATTGTTCTGCAGCATCACTGTATTCAACATTAACTGCAATTTCAGTGAATAAAAGCAATACATTAATGAATAATTTGGATCAAAATGGTGTTTATTCTTTGTTTATTGATTAACCCACAGACATACAAAATGCATAAAATGCATAACTCAAATGATGCTTCAGAGAGAAGGACGTTTCCTTGATAAAAAGCATTGGTATATATGAAATAACATGGTCTTAATACAAATTCAAAAACTGGGGCAATACAAACGTTGCAGCGAAATCACTATCACAAATACCTTCATGTGAAAGCTTCAAAAGACATTTTTATATGCAGAATGGACAACGACATAAAGCCTTGAACTGTTCCGAAACACACCCAAACTAGAAAAGGCACAAATGATATTTACAGCGAGGTCAGGGTATAAGGTTTCAAGTGGATTCAGTTTAAATAGAGGATTCAGTCATTTTACTGAATTCATATTTTTCATAATTCTCCCCAATTAAGGACAGGTAGGCAGCTTGATGTTTTTTGAGGTTCGGTGTCAGACATCATGAACAGACTACACTAAATTCTACATTATTTAAAGTTTAGTTCACACACAAATGAAAATTGTCATCATTTACTTGTGTTTACTTGTGAACTATCCCTTTAAGAAAATTCATCATGGCAAAATAGCATTACATGTGATAACTATTTTAGTTATCTTCTATCTTGGTTTGTCCATTTTTGGGTTAACTGGTAAATTGGTAAATGTAAAACACCATCATTAATCACAGCATTTATCAAACATCTGCCATCCAGCATATTCCAGTGACTTGGAGGAAGAAGACTTTTGTACATTCAGTAGTATGCACACGCTAATAAGTTAAAATAAATATTATTCTTTTCATTCAAGGTCAAAGAAAATCTAAATGTATAATCTCAGGCTGAGTGGCAGTGAAAGCTGTATGGTGGATGTAAACTGTGACTGCTCCTTCATAGTAAACACATTTATCATAAAGCAGAATACACCAAACAAAGATTTGAAAAAAGCAGTCAAATATGACAAAAGCAGGGAACACTTAGTGAACAAAAGTTTAGAAACAGTTAAACTCGTTCTACAACTGTGTTAAAAAAAAATCGATTTATATTATACTGAACATTATCCGTAACATCAATACTTGGTAAATAAAATATCCTTAGGGTCTCATGTATTTACAGAAAATTACATAGTCAGTGCAACTCATAAGTCTCGGTAAAGCAAAAAAATATGAGAGCAGAAGCAATTTCGAGTTCAAACTGAAACCTCAAGTCACAAACAGCCCTTACTTTCAACTAAAACCCTGCAAGGGTGCGGAAAAACGTACCTGACAGTGTGTTTGCAAGGTCACAGTGTTTTTGCCAAGTAAGACATGTTGCTGGATCAACATATTTTGTTGAATGAATGTGAATAACATAGATGTAGAAGCACCTGGTTGTAAGCCTAAACTTGTCCTTCAAATCTGATTGGTTGATTTGAATGTTGTTCCAGGACCAACAATGACGTTGATCTACTGTAGGAACATGTCGTACTTGGTGAAATCACATTTACCTTGTTGGTCCACTAAAAGCGTAAAATCTTCACTGACTAAGGCGATGTGTTTCAATAGCATACACAATTCAGCTGAAATTCACTCATCATGAAATAAAACTTAGAAAGAAAATAAAAATACTTTTTCAAAAACCACTAATGAAATCCTAATGACATGTATAATCTTAACAAAGAAAACATAAATATCAACATTATAATGCATTTATAGCTAAATATGCTTATGTACATGTGGAACTATTTACACTTTCAATATTCATAATACATTAAATATCAGTTTTTTAAGATGTAAAATAACAAATGCACATTTTGGGAAAAATTCTGTTATTCTGATATTTAAGAGCTTTATGTTATTGTATAGGCCATACTAATTTAAACTTTTTTAATAGACTTATTAGTCTATAATTACAGACTGTTAATTTTTCTTGACAATTTGTGGTTGTGACAGCAAGAGTGCCCCTGATCACCTATTAGCCCTGATCCACATGCCAGTAATACAATGTTCAATTTATTTTCAACGTTTAAATGTTATTAAAATATGAATGGGCTAAGTGATTAGGCCTAGTGATTCAGCAACCCTGAGAGGAAAAGCTTTGGCTGATCAGTCCAATGGAAAAGACGGCTAATTTACACACCTTGACATTGGTAATCAGATGTTGAAGCTGAGATGGTACTAAAAACACAAAAGTGTGTTAAATGAGTCTAATAATTCATCCAAAAATTAAAATTCTGCCATTATTTACACCCTCATGTTGTTCCGAACCTCTATGATTTTCTTTCTTACATAAAACAAAAAATGAGGAACCTTTTTATGGTATTTTATTGTTGCAGTTTTATTATTTATGAAGTTGGAACAGCCAAAGTTTAGACTGGAAAATTAATTTAATAATCTACAGAAGAAAGACAAACACATACCCGTTTGGAACTGGCCCTGTTTACATCTGGTAACGTTAGTTCACTTAAAAAAATAAAATAAAACACACTTTTGCTGATAATTTACTCACCCCCATGTCATCCAAGATGTCCATGTCTGTCTTTCTTCAGTCAAAAAGAAATTAAGATTTTTGATGAAAACATTCCAGCATTTTTCTCATTTTTCATTCCAGCATGGACTTCCAAAAGACAGTTTCAGTGCAAACTGCAAACTGTTCAAAGGGCTTTAAACGATGAATAAGGGTCTTATCAAGCGAAACGATCGATCATTTAATAAATAAATAACAAAGTTTAAGTTTTATAAGCTCAAATGGTCGCCTTACTCTATACTGTGATGCACGTTCGTGACTCCCCTGTTCGAACTCGTTCATCAAAATGAACGAATCTTTTTCCGAGTCAATTCATTCGTTTCGTTTGTTTAATGAACCAAATGACTCGGAAAAAGATTTGTTCATTTTGAGCGATCGTTCGCTTTATAAAATTCTGGCTGTCAGAGCAGAAACGAAAGCTGCCGCACTCCATTTGTTTTTCTGTCGTCTCCGAACTTGTTTTTCTGTCGAAATCAGGACAGAAGTGGTTGAAAGTGGACAAAAGCGACAGGTCCCTGACTTCTTGTAATCTGATCAACCAAAAATATCTTAACACCAGGTGTAAACAAGGCCTTAAACAAGACAGAATTTTCGGTTTTTGGGTAACTGTTGGGTAAGTTCCTCAATCTGCGGTGAACCTGACTAAAAATATGTGTTATTTTTACTCCTGTTCATGAAACCTTTAAAGTCCCCGTGAAATCAAAATTGAACCTATTTACTTTGTTAGCGCATATTACTAGTCTTGTGGTGAACAATTAATCCGTGCAAGTAAAAATATATTTAAAAAATGTTTTACCTTCGTAATCTTTAATCAAAATCTGAAAAGTTACTTCCGGTCTGGAACGGTTT